AGGGAAAGAAACTAATAATAAAGATACATGTTTCCCTAGTTGTATGTATTATTTTCAGTTTGACTCTTTTCATCTGAATTCATTCAAAAAGCACAATATACTTGTAAATCTTTCAATAAGTATCCATCAACAAGAGAAAATCAATTTTTTCCTTACATGTGCATGCATGCACATTGAGCAGGAAATACTGAAAACAAACCAAATGCATTATCCTCTTTGATGGAGAAAAGCAGCTATATTTCTCCCAAGACTAATATTCTCTGAAGTTACGTTGTCTTCCTCTAGTCTAATTCCCAACCACCTCATGATACATTGTGATTTTGTGCTTTTTTTTTTTTCTTTTTAAAATGAGATTTGCAAATTCTTCTTATATTTACCTGTAAAATACAATGGCAATAATGAGGAGTTTTCTCATCCCTAACTCATTCCCAAATTTATCATTAATTCATTTTGAGTGTGTTCTGCGAGCTGTGCAAACATTATGCTATTCTGCCTCTATACTTCAGTGTATGCTTTGATGTATGTCTATGTATTAAAGGGACAAAATCCTAAGGTTGTGCTTCCCCTGACACCCAGCAGAAGAAAGAGAATTAGTCACTACTCGCTGTGAATGCTGTTGGAGAGTACAGTAGCCATGCTGTCTCTAGCAAGAGAAGTTGGCATTTTCAGTCAGGTTTGTGGTGAGGTTTTTGCAGACTTGTATGCTTTCACTGAAGAGCAAGGACCAATGACAGTAAACTGTAGAAGCAGGAAGAGGTTATTTTGTCTGAGCTCATTTGTGATTTGCTTTCCCTGTTTCGTATTTTAAAATAAAATAGTGTAGCAGGGGAAAAAATATAAATCACATTCATTTATTTTAGGTGTACTTGGTGAAATCCGTTCTGCCCACATAAAGCTCAACTCCTCCATTTTTATTAGACAAAGAGCAGAACAGTAACATACGTAAAATCTGCCCTTCCAATGTTTATGGCTGCTATGAAAAAGGAAACTAGAATATTTTTATGACCTGGCACTGGATTCTGTGGGGGCCTCTGGAATCTTTTGGCCTATCTCCATCCTACCATTCTGCTGACAAAGTGATTCACAATTCTGAGTCTTATGATATACAGAAGTGCTGCTATTCATTAGCACTGCTTGCACTTGTCTACATGGCTACCCTTTTTTCATTGTTTTTCCACACACAGCCTAAAGGGACTAAGTTAATGTACAGGATTTATAAAAGAATTGTAGGAAGCTGAAATATGTTAGTTTGCAGGTAGTTCCATAAGCAGAAGAATCCAAAGACATGACTTCTGTTGATTTGAGTGTCACTTTCCTGTGTACGTTGTCTAATAAAGCTTCATCAAATGCTGCAACTTTTCCCTGAGTGGGGGGAATTAGTACAATTTCTCTTCTGAACTTTATCTTTTCATTGTATTTATGGGTAATTGATACTTTTACTTAAACTGTCAATATGTGAAATTGGCAAAAACTAATATTTTCGGAAACAATGGGACAGTGAGCAAAATTGGGAGATAGCAAAATTGGGAGACAGCACACTCCTTTCTCTTTAGAAAAGGTTAGAAGTTGGAGTGGGGAAGGAGTAGGGATGTTTAAAACATGATCGCACAAGCTAGATCCAGATGTTTTGCTTTAATGAGTTATTGCTCCAGCTGTTACTGGTCTTCATCTGAAACTTAACTGCTGAAGTTGGTTTGAAAAACCCAATAGACTTTGTATTGAAGCGAAAGCATCAAAATGTCATATGTAGCATCTCTGTTATGTGGAGAATAACTTCCTAGCAATGAGCAGTAGCAAGTCAAAGCTGGCTATATCTCAAATCACTACAGCTTCTTCGTGATTGTATAATTATATCTTTAATTTTTGACTGGTATCTTCAATGGCTTGAGAAATAAAACTGGATTGTTTTCTTTGGGATCCACCCTCAATTAGTCATAGGAGCATTTCTACATTCTTTCTTTTGAAAACCTAATGTTAAGTATTTTAAATGTGTTAACAAAGCTAGCTGTCCCATCCATTTATAGTGCCAACGGGAAATCAAAACTCATATACAGTTCCCAATTTTAGAAGTGTAAGAAAGAATCACTTTTCCATGTATTTGTTACTCATTCGGATGAGTACATTTTATCTCTCTGAATAATTCCCTGTTGTTTTTCGTACTTTTATTTTGAAAATCATAGAATGGTTTGGGTTGGAAGGGACCTTTAAAGATCATCTAGTTCCAACCCCCCTGCCAC